GACCTTGCAATCCGGTCGTCAAACTCGGTAACCGCATCGTCTGAGTTGTCTTTTACAATCGTAGAGCCGTCGGAAGAAGTGCACAGGCCGTCTATGTGCCTTCGGAAACGGGTGTTGTCGGATAGCTGTGAAAGCCTATTGACGACTTCTCCCAGTCTTGAGGAGTCAAGGATTTCCGATTTGGCATTGTCCATCTTTACCACTTCCTCGGAAAGAGATGATCGTTCTCGCCAAACAAGAGCACGGCCGTGTAGTTTGCCCAATTCCAGAGCTTTTTCGTATCCTTTCTCGATTCCAAAGACTTTACCTTCGATCATGCCGGCGTAGGTGCTATCAGCCACACCGGCATCATAACCTTCCTGATAATAGTCATTCTCGAGCTCGAGGAGGTCATCGAATGGGTCGGTGGCCATGGCGAATCACGAATAACTGCTTAATGTCTTTTCAGCGTCTTCGAGAAGGTTCTAGAAGGAAGCGGCTCTGCACCAGAAGAAGTCGCGTGACTTGGACAATAAGCAGGAACTTGGAGGAAGCAGATGAGAGAATGAAGAAGTCAAAGGGCGCACAACGACTTAGTATGAGCCCAAGAGCCTTAAAAATAAGCATCAATCTTAGCGCCTTGGCATCCACTTGCGCTGCTGTTACTGCGGCGGTGGGGGATTTGGTGACTCTTTTCTCCCTCCCAGTCACCATCCTGCGTCTCTTTTCCGAATTAACTCAACGCAGAGCACAACCAGGGTGTCTGTAGGTTTATATTGTGCCTCGTCTCGTCAAAGTCTTTCAGAATCGCTTGCGTCACTCCTGTTCCCCCTCGATCAACCTATCTTGGCCCACAATGGGCTCCGAAAAGATCCTCCCCCAAGACGGCAAGCGAAACATTCTTGTCACCTCCGCTCTGCCCTATGTTAACAATGTAAGTCGATCGAGATATTGCGCCCAGGACAGCGACTAACTTCCTTCCTCTAGGTTCCTCATCTGGGCAACATCGTCGGTAGCGTGCTTAGCGCCGATGTGTTTGCCCGGTATAACAAAGCCCGTGGACGACCGACTCTTTTCGTCTGCGGGACTGACGAGTACGGCACCGCCACGGAGACAAAGGCGCTAGAGGAGGGAGTTTCACCAGAAGAGCTGTGCACAAAATACAACAAGATTCACACCGAAATCTACGAATGGTTCGAATTGGGTTTCGACATTTTTGGACGGACTCCTACCAAGCAACACACCGACATCTCCCAGGATATCTTCCTGAAACTTCACGCCAATGGCCATTTGACTGAACACATAAACAGTCAACCATACTGCGAGAAGCACGGAAAATTTCTGGCAGATCGATTTGTCGAAGGCACATGCCCAAAGTGCGGATACGACGATGCTCGCGGCGACCAGTGCGACAAGTGTGGGAGTCTCTTAGATCCGCTAGACTTGATTAATCCCCGCTGCAAGGTCGATGGGGCAACTCCCGTGACGAGGGAGACGAAACATACCTACCTGCGACTGGATGAGCTGCAAAGCCGGATCGAAGAGTTTTCGAAACGGTCCATTAAGATTGGCCGGTGGTCACGGAGTGCCAAAGTCATCACGGAGTCATGGTTGAAACAAGGTCTGAAAGAGAGAGGCATCACTCGAGATCTGGCTTGGGGCGTGCCTGTTCCCCTTCCTGGCTACGAGCACAAGGTCTTTTACGTCTGGTTTGAGGCTTGTATTGGCTACCCATCGATCACTGCCAACTACACAGATGAGTGGGAAAAATGGTGGAAGAATCCAGACCAAGTCCAATTATATCAATTCATGGGAAAGGACAACGTGCCCTTCCATTCTGTCGTATTCCCTGGGTGCCAGATGGGGACGGGGGAGGACTGGACCATGCTACACCACCTTTCGTCAACCGAATACCTCAATTATGAGAATGGCAAGTTCAGCAAGAGCCGTGGTATTGGTGTCTTTGGAAACAACGCAAAAGAAACCGGTGTCCCTCCGGATGTTTGGCGATATTATCTGCTCAAAAACCGACCGGAATCAGGCGACACGCAGTTTGAGTGGCGGTCATTCATCGATGGCAATAATTCGGAGCTACTTGCTAAACTCGGGAATTTTGTCAACAGGGTCATTAAATTGGTCAATTCCCCAAAGGCCTACTCTGGGGTTATACCGGAATTTGATCCCAACAACTTACCTTCGTCCTTTAAGGAACACCTGGCTGAGATTACGGAGCTTGTCAAGCAGTATCTCGCAGAAATGGAGGCGGTGCACCTTCGTAACGGTCTCCTTGTCGCCATGAAGATTGCGGAGGCTGGAAACGGCTTGATCCAGGCGCACCGACTGGACAACTCGCTTATTGGGAGCGATCCCACTCTTGCGGCTGCAGTTGTGGGCACTGTGGTAAACCTCATCTACCTCTGCTCCGCCATCTTCGAACCATATCTTCCTGCTACTTGTGCTTCGATACGGAAACAACTCGACCGCCCATTCTTGGAGATCCCTTCCGAGGAAGACGTTGCCAACGGGTGGCTTCCTGTCTACATCAAGCCGGGGCACAAGATCGGCAAGGCTGAGTATCTCTTTACAAGAATTGACGAGAAAAAGGCCGACGAATGGCGAGACTATTTCGGTGGCAATCAGGCGGAAAGAGAGAAGAAAAAGAAGGAAGAGGCAGAGGTTGCTGCGAAGAAAGCCGCCCAGAAGGAGAAGGTCAAGGCTAAGAAAGCAGCTCAAAAGGTAGCGGCTGCGGCTGCGGCTGGAGGCGTTGAGAAGAGCGCGAAAGGGGGCCAGGAAGGAAAAGAGCTGGCTAATGGGGTTGCTGATGTCGGAGAGGACGCGGCGGTAGCCAAGGTCGTTGATGGAGTCGCGCAGGTAACGATACCGACGTCTTGAGCTGGGAAGAATAGAGCTTTGCTACGTGCAGTCGAGACAAACGCCAGCACTATACGAGAAAGAAGGTAGACACGTCATGGCGAAAATCTTTCGAAACATGGAGGCATTTGTCGGCAAATCGAAGGTTTTGTATTGATAGAACGGAAGAGATGATGGATGTGGCACGAGCAGAAATGAAGACACGTTGCAAGGTATGCCCTGTTGGGTTCTCGCTGCGAGCAATCTGTTTTGTGGTCTCTTTCGAATTGAGTCCGCCTTCGCACTCTATATCCCTCTCGCTACTTGACTTTCGAACAGCTCACATCATTCAATCACTGTTTACCTCCAACAGACTGAATTGTGAGCGGTAGCTGGGCGCAAAGGGATTACCATCATTCTCGTCTACCTCGTTATTCTGCCTCGTAAGATTCTTCAGCGGGTCTGGTAGGTAGAGTGCTTACCTGGGACTCTCCGCGCCACCGAGATCTAGGGCTGAGCATTGAAGGCGACTATTATACCTCCTATGTTCCATTCCAGGCGCATCACGAGGTATCACGATCTCCACAATGCCAAGTCTTCTTTAGGGGGTCAAAAAGCGGGGAGCTCACGATGCTGCGAGTGCCCTATGCTGATTGGCTCACTCCCACACTCGGTACCTGTCGCGATCGGCCGCAAGTTCCAGACTTGTCAACGGCTTTATCTACCTATTCTTACGATATTCGGACTTAGATACTCCTCCTATCCAATTCCATCATACTAGATGTGGCTATATCCGTTGCATCGCGTACATTTGGCCGCTTCGTTTGACACCGATCACTGCCTCTGTGTGGGGGACCATCATCCACGGATCAGAGCCCTTTCTAGTGAGAGAAATTTGATAGTGACCCAGCTACTCGTATTCCAACACAATTACAAGGTCCATCCCCGTCCTCCGCCAAGAATGATGATTGACGGTTACCGATTGTACGACTGTGGAGACAGCATGTAGGATGGACGTGTATATACGTCGATGTTATCGCTTGACGGCTGCATCTACCCACCTCTCTCCCCGTGAGATCAACTTGTGGTTTGACATTGGTGGGGATTACATATCAAAAGTGAACACTTCTTTGTAAGGGACGTGGAGAGTATGAGGAACTTTGTTAGGCTGACAAGGCTGACCTGACTCAGCCACCGAAGCCTTAGATGGCACCTTTTCTAGTTCCCTACGAGCTCTGCCCGAATATGTCATGGCGTTGTATTGCGAGAGCAGGAGGTATATGTGGGTTGCGGTCCTGGGATGCCTATCTGGGGCCCAGACCGCGATGAAAATTTAGTCAACCATTATGTTGGACTGCGCCACCGAAAAGGGTGTTGTCTTATCCTTCTTTTTAGCCCCGATGTTAGTACCACTGGATCGACCGGTTGAGGTGGTATCAGTCAGCATGTGGGGTGATCAGCCTCAAGTCCAAGTCGAAAGCCCTTGAGAGGAAGTGGGTCAGACATGAGAAGGGCAGCCGGAGAGAGGTGCTGCCGAGTCTGGTTCTGTCCGTTCTTTCCTCAGGCATCCAGAACCTGAGCGGAATCGACGTATGGCAGCCCGGGTCCAAAGTCAATTTCTACTGAAGAAGAGAGGGATTGACCCAGAAAGGTCAATGGGTACTGCCAATAATATCCACCACGTACCTCTATAGAGAGGCCTATAAGCCTCTACTCCTGTTGGCAATTCAGCGGTGATTACTGTCCCGCCTTTGCGAGTTCCCGTGAGATGGCGTCTTATCCATCCACTTCTCGATCTGGTCCACGTTAGAAACCACGGCAGTCTATCTACGAATATTCAGGACGACCCTTCGCTGTTCCCGTCGGCAATCGCAGTCAGCCCAAGCCATCTCGAAGCTGCAGGGATGTCGTGCTGAGCGTCTAGTGGAGGCCTATCAAATCTGGCTATGCTCTCACCAACGACACGTACATACAGAGCTAAATAAAATATCTGATCCTTCGACAATCGGACTCAGAAAGGGCCGTTAGATACGACTATAAACGCTCCTCGTCTTCTCGAGATTTACTGCGCTCTTCCAAACTGACGACCAATTTCGAAGCGCCTCTTCGATCTGTCTTATTCATATTTCGCGTTCCCTATCACATTCACATAGTATTGTTCACCCTGCACAATGCCTCCGCCAAAAATCCAGGCTTTCCCGCCCCCTCCACAGACCCCAACCCCTCCCCCATCCTTGACGCCGCCGGACGCTCGCTGGACCATCACTTATAGCCAACAGGTACCCAAAACGAACAAGCTGCAAAAACCAGCTCCGACCAAGATATTCACAGGCACTTCTCCGGTTTCGACGACCAATCTGCTCTTTACAGCACACTCGATAAAATTCGAAAGCAGTGGTCATTTCTCCGGAGTGGCGTACTCGGGCCTGAGAGGACAGGGAGAGCCCAGAACGCTTCGAGACGGGGGAACTATCATTGGGACGTTCCTATCCTTTTCAGTGTCCCCAAAGGGGTTACAGAGACCGCAAACGGTGGCAGGCGGCGGCCGGGGTCCTGCCCAAGGTCTCCTCGACTTTGACCCGGAGGAAGGCCTGGGCGATGACGAGACGCCAGAAGAACAGGCGCAGAGAGAGCAGGAGGAGCAGGCGCAGCATGCCGTAAACCAACACCTCGCGAGCGTGCTCGAGGCCCAAGGTCTGAAGCCTCCTGCCCTTCCTCGAGATCCCTCCGATCAACCACGATTCGACAGAGAGGCCAGACAGCTCATGGCAGCGCACGGGATTCCGGATCTGCCGCCGCTCACTACCCAGGACAAACTCAACCTCGCTTACGAGCAGCAACTTCTACAAGCAGCCATTGCGCACGGTGGCCAGAGCCACGGCCCCTCCTCATCCTCTCAAACGGCCCATCCGACTTCTCGAATGGCCCATCCAACTTCTCCAGCTGCCCATCCGACTTCTAACATTGCCCAACCCATATCTCGAGTTGCCCAACCCCCACTTCACGGTGGCCAAGGTCAACCCGCGAATTTGGGGGAAGAGGAGGAAGAAGAGGAGGAAGAGGAAGACCAGGGGCAGTACGAAGGCGATGAATATGATGAAGAGGACGAGGGCGGGTATCACGAGGATTTCGACGACATGTATGCTGGCCCGGACGAAGATGGATACTATCACGCAATCTAGGCAGTTCACAGACGGCGGCAATGCTACCACGACGTTTGGTTCAAATGGTGAAACCTCCAATGGGTGTACGCTTTCGGAGAGATGTCGAAGCCACTGAAGCCGGTTGTGTCGGATCCAAGAGAAGGGCGTCTGCAAACATATCGTATGAAGTCGTGTAATTCTTACAAAATGTGCGGGGGACAATCATCATGTCAAGAACAATGCAAGTGAGGCGACGGCGCAATATTGAAAGCAATTAGTGCACATGCCCTTTTGCTATCTTGAGAACCAAGAGGGCCTCAAACTCTCTAACGACTGCGGCTTGGTCCAGCGAGATGCACGGACTATCAATTGCCGTGGTGAATAATTCCTGATTAGGCTAATGGTGTGGGTATTAACCCATGATCCACCACCCTGACTAGGTAACCAGGTGCCCAGGCGTTTCGCTTCGCTGAGACTCCATACCAAGTACCGTACATATGATGTACCCTGTAGTGGTGGACACATGGGTAATCCAATCCGAACAAGGAAGGTCAAGCCTCGATCCATTCTCTCTCACCAACTTACCAAGTGACCCCCGTTCCACCACTCTATCAATAGTCCCCAGTCTATTACGGGGTGCATGTGAGGTTGACCCGCGTGTGGCCCTGACCTTATCGGGTAGGTTAGCCGAAATATTTTCCACCGCGGCACACAACAAATCCATAGGCGTGCTAGATAGATTTCCTTGCCTAATCAATCCGTCAAGTTATTCCACTTACACCGCGAGGCCCCAGGTTGAGCTGACCTTGGAGAGAGAGGGACTAGTTCAGAAGCTGCGCATAACGTCCGCGTCTGTGAATGGTTCTCACAAAGTCAAAGTCGGCGACCACGACCCTTCTCAATGAACTGTGACGATCGCGGCGAGAGAAGTATGGGTGTGGCTAGAACTGTTGGCATTGGACTAGATGGGAGGTTAGTCATGTGGGACTTACACACTTATATATATATATATATATATATAAACATCGAGCGCAAGGCTACATGCCCCTGTGACCAGATAGATAGATCCCTTGCACTGCCTTGGAAAGTATATGAATATAGACTAAGCGTCTGCCCGGCCCTTTCTGATTCTGCCCAGGGTCCAGCAATCTGTTGCTGACACGTTTGCTCCAAGCCCCAGCAGAGCCAAGACCGAAGTCGTGATACAAATAGCAGCTTCAAGGCACGCCCAACCAGAGCAGAAACAAGGGGATGATCCAGCCGAGTAATAAGGCGTGAAGGGCGAACAAAGCTCAGACGGTCAGGCCGGCCGGTAGATGCAGTGCCAACACAGGCTAGGGTAGAGTCTGCTCCAATCTTCTATGCCGGAGAATTCTTCCCCCGTCCTGACATATTGCTGCGAAGGCCGCTTGGCTTGGAACTGCCGCTGACAGTATTATGCTCATCAACTGGGAAGGGTTCTTCACACTTCGCTCTGTTGTAGGCATTGACCCATAACTGAGGCGGCATCCAAACATCACGTCTAAGGCCTCAAGAATCACGACACCACTCCACAGCTTTCCTGCGCTCCGGGCTGAGAGCCTCCACGCCAGAGCGTCTCATCCCAAGAGCAAGACTTGGCTGTTCTGAGGTTTATGGTCGTTCGGAAGCTCTGGTCGTTCCGCAGCGCTGTACATGATTGACCGCGGGGATATTTCAGGAGAAGGGAGTGGCCTCTGTTCTCAAGTAGTCTAGATGATTGTTGTTGGGATTTGTTTGTTCTTGGTCTCGCCGTCTTCGTTGAAAACCAGATATCCCCGAGGTCAAAGTATCTGACGCTGCTTTAAAACAAGATTTCTATCTTTTATAATGGCGTGATTATGCCGCCCAATATGGACTCGCAACCACAGTTCTCCAGCCTTGGCGCTGGAAACGCCTTGTCGACAATCTGCGGTCGCGCTGTTTCGAGTCTTCAAGATGATATGTAAAACGCGTTGACCGACTACCACCGCACTGCAATTCCAGCCTATTCGTACCTGTTACCACCTGCCCGACTCTGGCTCGATACAAGTTCTCTCGCTCATGTCCTATTGACTGTACGCCCTCTACTCAAACCGCTCTGAAGCTCTCGCCCCTTCGCGCCGTTGTTGGGTAACATGTCTACACTCTTCGGATCGTCGCCCGCAGCGGCTGCTACCACCAGCACAACCGGAGATCTGTCCAAGGACATTGCTTTGGTCCAACCGCCGGAGGACAGCACATCCCAACTCGCATTCTCTCCTCAGGCCGACTTCCTGGCTGTCTCGTCATGGGACAAAAAAGTGCGGATATACCAAGTGAACGAGCAAGGGCAGAGCGAGGGCAAGGCCGCCATAGATTTCGACGCCCCAGTGCTGGGTTGCGCATGGTCCGAGGTGCGTCGTACCCAGGAGTTGATGCCTTGGGAGGAACATATTGACAATACTCTTAGGATGGACAAAAAGTCGCAGGCTGCGGTGCCGACAAGACTTTCCGACTTCTCGATCTGGGATCAGGAAACATGACGCCTCAGACTCTAGTCGCACATGAACAACCCGTGCGAGCGTGTCGATTCGCCACCATCAATAACTCATCTATCCTCATTACCGGCTCGTGGGACCGGACCGTGAAATATTGGGACCTGCGCACCCCGAACCCCGTTGCAACATTACAATGCCAGGAGCGAGTGTACACCATGGATGTGAAGAACAAACTTTTGGTCATTGGCACTGCCGACAGATACATCAATATTGTCGACCTCAACTCCCCCGAGAAGTTTTACAAATCGGTACAGTCACCGCTGAAATTCCAGACCAGAGTGGTTAGTTGCTTCACTGATGCTACTGGCTTCGCGGTGGGCAGCATCGAGGGCAGATGTGCAATTCAATATGTGGAAGAAAAAGCTGCCGACAACAACTTCAGCTTCAAATGCCATCGTGACACACCGGCCACCACGGGTCCCAATCGCGACGTCGCCAATGTCTATGCTGTCAATGCTATTTCATTCCACCCTATCCATGGCACGTTTTCGACAGCAGGCAGCGATGGGACTTTCCACTTTTGGGATGGCAATGCAAAGCATCGACTCAAGGGCTACCCGGCAGTGGGAGCGCCGATCACGGCAACGGCGTTCAATAGACAAGGAACCGTGTTTGCATATGCGGTGTGCTACGACTGGAGTCAAGGTTACCAAAAGAACACACCACAGACCCCAAATAAGATTATGCTGCATGGCGTGCAGCCGGAAGAAGTTAAACCAAGACCAGGAGGAAAGAAGAGATAGGTTGACAAAATTAGTAACGGAATCTCACCAGCATAACATCGAAACCTAGAAAGCCTGGAAAGCCTCGCAAAGACAGCACCTGCTTCGCAGTACTTGGACAGAGCACTTTGGGACTCAAACAGCGGATAGAACCTGTCGCGAGATGAAGAGATTCATTGGAGAAGATTGACTTGGCGACTCGAAAAGTGGACGCGTCGGCAGACGCTGCGTACGGTCCACATGCGAGGATGAAAAGCCTGGGCGTGAAAACTCCCATCCTGGCCCGGATCGGCGAAGATGGATTCCGAGCAGGGCAGAACAAAACGAACCAGTGTGGCGGACGCTCAGCCTCTGGTATGTGTGGCTTCTCCTCGGACGGGCGTCGGGCAGGCTCTTCGATGCTGTATTTGTACAATGTACTAGATAGATCGCTACGCGACACGACACAAAAAAAGACGGTCCCCAAGGAGTGAGTGGATCAGAGACCACTACTACGAGGTACTACCACCAATACCATGAACCAACCTATCAATCAATCAACCAACCCATATAGCATTCCTACTTGCTTCCTTGCTTATCTAGCTGCCTAGCCGGATTATAGCATGCATCCCCACTATGGTGCCTTTACCGTACAGTCGGTATATTAACGCGTAAAGTCCTGCAAGTCCAAGTCAAGTCATGGCGATGATAGTTGCGTCATGTACTTGAAGCACATATCAATCAAACTACCTATACCTGTTTACCTGGGTAGGTAGATTGGGAGCTAGGAGCTAGGAGCTGGGAGCTAGGAGCTAGGAGCTAGGTAGGTTCATAGGTAGGTAGGTAGTAGGTATGTGGGGTATGTAGAAAGGTACATATACAGCATAGTGAAGCCATTGCTCATTCACGCCAACCAGACCAGCCCACGTTGTAGACCCATTCCCATCCGTGCAAGTGCGTGTGTACCCCCGTCCGTTATCCCGCATTGCCCTGAGAGAGAAAAAAGATTTTCAAAAAAAAATAAAAAAATCACACCCTCGCTATGCTTGCTTGTGCTGTTCATCATCCTTTGGCTCGTGCATTCCTTGTTTGGGTTTCCTCCGTTTTGGACAATTCTCTCTTTTTTTTTTTTTGGTGGATTCCAGCCATGCCGTCCTTCCTTCCTGGTAAGCCCTTCCCGTACACCCTGCTATAATAAGCCCCTGCAGACCCGTTGCTGGAAGAAAGAAAAAAAATCAAAAGTTTCGACCTGGACAAGATCGAACCTGGGAGTTACTTTTCTCTTCTCGTTTGCGCAATTTGGAGCATCATTCTTTCCTCCGTGGCCTGGCAATGACCACATATCCCGCTTTCTTTGGTATGAATCAACCCTTCCTCCGCGTCATTTTGGAAGGCTGGATGCTGCGATCAATTCATATCCATCCCATCATCATCATCACCTTCCGTCTCGTCCGCCTCCCCACTGGGTCGATGACTCCGTCTTCGATACCTCCCACTGAGGACCCCACCTAGAGTGAACGCCGTTTCTGCGTCGTCCATCTCGTCGCCGTCAACCACTCTCCCCTCCGTGCCAACTACCTCGCAAAGCTCCATAAGAGATTGCCGAGACAGGCTCCTGAATCCCTCTGTACGTACGATTCGCCCAAAGTTCATCATGCAGAAACGGGCAGCGCGTTGCTTGAGCCACTCTTCCTCGGTGCGTCCTGCACGTTCCCAAATCACGGCGGCGTGTTCAATATCAATCTCACGCGAAAGGCGATTTACGCACAAAAGACGGAGCTTTGGCATGTCGTAGAGGTTG